TTGCAGAACCGTTTCACCTAATCGATCGTGGTGAAGTCAGCAATGGATTTGGCGGATCATCCACGTGGATGGCAGGCCCAATTCTGACTAGTTCTCCGCACTACTTTTATGCAGTTGAATACTATCATGCCTATTTAGTGAAAAACTGGCTGGCTCTGGCTACCAAATCACACTGCCTGTATGAACAAACAAACCTTGCACAACCAGCTTACGTAGAAAAGATTCCATATTCTATGCCAATAGACTCGTGACATCCATGTACTGAGTCGTCAAATGAGCCAGCCCAAGCTTATACGCATTGGCCCACAGGGTGCCCCAATAGGCCCCGAATGAAAGACCCAAACCTGATGAATAACCCACCCACCCGGCGAGAAGGGCCCCGCCCACTCCCAACTCGCCCTGGTCAACCATTGGTTTTATATGACCTCCTATATACATCATAGCATTTACACACTATAGAGTGACCCCCTTTTTTCATCTTACATTTCGATGATACTTTCAGGTCTCTCCCATCTGAGGTGACCATCGTTATCTATATAAAGCCGACCCCGCCAAGGCCTAAGTGCACGCCCACCCCTCGAGCCTGTGCTTACTTTGGCAGTGAATCCCCAAGCAGGAAGTGCGCCTTAAGTTTAGGGATTGTTTTCTTATCCATCAATCCGGTATTGAAAGACCTTGCCCAAAAACAGTTAGGCTCTATCTTAATGGTATCCTGTATATATTAATCGAAGTTCTCTAGATACAAATCCATGAATATGTAATAAAGCAACCCAACCCTCTTTGTTGGTTTAGTTTTCACGAAACTTGTAATCCTAAAAGGCTTCCTTATCTCCCAATCCCCAATCATAATGGAATTCCACATCTGCAGGGTGTACCCAATCTAACGGCTTGCAAACCATAGGAAGATTTCATTTCAACGGGAGAGGTATTCGTTTCTCTTTCTTCAAAGCTACTTCGTACCTCAGTTTCAAATGAGTGTAACTATGTTCAACTAAGGTACGTAGTTTCACATCATCCCTATTCTTTTATTTCCAAAGGCGATTCTGTTCATGCTTCAGACGATCTGGCTAATTCTATCATTTTATTCTATTATAAAGGCGAAGGCCTATTTAGCGCGTTTCCAAAGTCCGCTAAAGCCCACGGGATAAGGTTCGATCATGAATCGAACCAGATCGAAACATTCAGCTGTCGACGGGCAAAGCCGGAACGTCGACCGATGGCCAGGCCCCGGTTCCCAGGGTTAGGGTATTCCCTATTATGAGCCTACTCAGATCAGAACTCAACTAGTGGATTCTCTTTGGCCGAATTTCCTGCTGAGATCCCAAGTCTCCAAGTGGGCCCTCTTGGCCACCCACGACCTTGGCTTTTTAGAGAATCCCGCTCCTAAGGTAAGGAGTCTTCTGTGTGTTAGAATCTTTACGGGAATGAATCGCATATGTTGGTTGAGAATTGCTCGGGAATTCATTGATAATGATAAGGACTTTGCCAGGGTCTAGGGTTCGAGAGAGAAATTCCTACTATAAGGAAGGGACGAAGGTAATCAAATCAGTAGAATGCTGCTTTCTATCGGTTGTTCACATTCAAGCATGAGTTAGTTCAGAGTCGGCAAGGGGAATCAGAGAAAGGGCAGTTTAGTCAACAATCATGACCATGGGAACATTTGTTCGCTTTATAGGTACCCCCGAATCTACTAGTCATCGCCTTTGAGCTGGGAAAAGCCTCAACGGCCTGGAGTAGGCTATTCCAGATTCAGTAAAGGAAAGAAGCCTTGATCCCAAGACTAGCTGCGGATTCTTCCTTTTATCCGGACTGACTCTAATCGTGATTTTTACTCTATTACTAGCGCCTCCCTCTGTCGCAATAGAAATCGAGAATAGAGGGGACTTCGCTACCTTTCTCGGTGAAGAATATTCATTTCTTTCCAGCTTTGGTCACATAGGCTTGAACCACTCCTGGGAAACATACTTTTCTATTCTACGATCGGACTTTGCCGGGCATGAGCTACTCTCTTCTAGCCTTCCTCTAACAGATTCAATGGCATCGCAACTTCTTTTTCTTTCAAGCATGAGTGACCAGTCGATTCTCTAATTAAGATATAGCAGTCAACCATCAAGAAATCATCAACTATTTAATCGGGGATGAGCTCTATGGCTAATTCGTTCGGCTATTCTATGTTGTAAGGATCGACTTAAGCTTAAGCTAGAGCAGCTCCTTCAGCGGCTGGTAGTGAAAGGAACTGACGATCTTGGCTTAGATGGCTTTGCTCCTGGGGAACTTCATTTATCGATAGTCAAGGTACCCGAAGTTAGGCAATCAGCACGAATTCCTTTAAATGGATCCCTCTCTCTTCAAGTTCAAGCTAGACTATAATATATACTAAGACAAGAAGGGAGAGAAAGCAAGTTTAGGAATGCCCTTGCTTAAGAGGAAAGACTTCTTGTTACATGAGAGGGTATGTACTGTCAGAACGAAAGGGGGAACGAACAAGCATTCATCTCTACCTCTCCAAGCGACTACTACTAAGTGGATATTCTTTTTGGAAGAAAGACCACAAACTATCACGGATACCTCTATAGGGTCTCTCCTTTCTTTTCTAAGGTATGTCACTTGTCTGTGAAAGGCTCTCTCGCCTACTCTACAAAAAGATTCAATATGAAAAAGAAGACGCACCTGGGATCGGATACATCTTCAATCCTTGAATGTCGGTTTTGCCTTTGAGTCAGTCAATCGATGAAAGAAAAAGTCGAAGGGGGCAAGGTCCTTTCCTTTATGAACCCGTAACGAAAGGTTCCGGTGAAGAGGTCTCGTAGCCAGAAGTCAATCAATCCACCGGTTCATTTTCTGATTGATTAGAAAGATCAACCCCGGCCCTAGTGAGAAGAAGATGGTTAGACGCCAATTGAAAGAGTGGTAGTTTTATCCATGATGACCGGGTGGCTCTCTTTGCCCTTTCGATCTACTTCCTAAACTAAAGGAAGATCTAGCTGTGGATGATGTCCCAGCTGGAAAGTAAACCTTTTCATATTCATGCCTGCCCTATTGGAGATTCCAACTATATATGCATTTATGCATTTTCTTTTTATGCGACAGGTATGTGACCTTAGGAATTAGGTTCGGGAGTTGCTTTAGCAATTGTTGCTGGCTCCAGGTGTCAGTAATAGAAAAAGATTGGATTGGGAAAGACCATGGAGGTTGACAAACCGGTGCTGTTGGGGAAGCCTCTCATCGAGAAGAAAAAAGAAAATAGGACAATAGCTGACTAAACCTCTGAGCTCTTTTTCTGTAAAGATCCTTTGATTAAAGGGACATTTCCGCACTCATTTCAGATCATAGAGGTCGGGCTTCAGTCGAACAACCTTCTCCCTCCCTTCCACCGATGAAACTACTCTTGCAAAGTAAAAAAGTCGTATAACGTTCCTTCCAGTCGAATAGAATCTATTAAAGCAAAGCCAAGAGGCGATAGTGGATCTGTCTGAGGGCATCTGGAATTGTCTGTTTCGGTATTCACTCTTGTAAACGGTCGCAAACGCTCATCTGTCCACGAATAAGGTTCCCTTCTTTTATTCAAGATAGCTTTTATTCAATTAGGGCGAATACCCCTTTTTTTCCGAATTTCTTTATTGAAAGATATGCTACTTCCCGGTCGAGATGTCTGAGGGAAACTTTTTCGGTATCAACAACTGTCGCAACGGTCCTGTAACTGTGGAAAAGGGTCCTGTGTTTCAATCACTTGAATCGGTTTATTAGTTATTATATAATATTATAACTGTAGGTTCGGCAGTACAGGGTAGGTGGGTGCAAAAGAAAGATAAGCTTGAGATGCTACAATAGCTTCAGCCTGATCGATCCGCCTTTAGTATTGGTAAGTTCCCTTGTTAGTCTCTATCGCTTTCTTTTTAGTGAAAAGGAAACTGAAAAAGAGCTTATAAGGTAAGCCCTTGCTTGTTCTTGTGCTTCCGTTCAATATCTCCCCTCTCCATTCTTTGAGTTCGCATTAACATTTCCCATTACTCTGTCTTGTAGGGCATTTCTATGTAGCAAGAAGCTCTGTTCAATCGGGAACTGAAGCACGAAGAACTATCGATAATAGCGCCTTTCTTTTAGGCATAGAAGTCAAACTGGAATGATACCATCCGGGTTAAGCGATTGAAGTATTCATGACTTCCCTCTCTCCTGTAGTAGCACTCTATTTACTAGTACTGATTAGTACTAAACTCGCTTCAAGCTCAGTTAGTCAAGGAATCCGGAGATAGGTTCACCTGTTAGAAGTTTCGATCTATGGGCTTTCTTTATTTAGTAACGAGCTTTGTTAAAGAGATTAGAGAGGGGATGTAACAACGAAAGAGAAAAGGTTTTCTTTTAAAGCTATGGAGTGAATTCAGAATTCAAGAGGAAAGGATTAGTTGTTTACTTTTATAGAAGCTAAGGCAAGAAGTCAATCACTTTCAGTATCTCTTGCTTCTTTGGTTAGTTCAGTACGAGTGGCAGGCTCAAACTGGCACAGGCAATATATATATAATAATAAATAGGCGGTAATAAAGTCAAGCTTTTGCCAGAGGATGAGTCTTTCTCCTCCGCTGTGAACGCTATTATCTCAGAAGCTCAGGCTGTTGCACGCCTTACATCTCAGATTGCATCTTCGCCTCCACGAAAGAAGAATCAAATCAGTCAAGTTCCATGGGCATCCTCCGAAGTATCATCTCAATCCTGCGCTTTCTAAGGGAAGGCTTTAGCTTTCCAATCGTAGGCCTGGGCCTTCTTTCTTGACCCTTTATCGGAGAGGCAACCGTCTTGTCTTAACTGTCCCGAGCTACCGTTGTGGGTTGTGCTCATTAAAAGAGTTGTCCTAAATGCCCCTTTTTAGCTGTCGCAGGAAGTGAAGCAAACTCGACCAAAGGACAAGTCTGTTCCTCCTTCGTTTTCTGTTCCCGATTCAATCTTCACCTTTCCTGAATGAAGAAAGAGAGTGAAAGAGAAGATATCAGTGCAATAGGTACAGAGGGGAGAGAAACTGTCTTCGTTCGGTTCGGCAGAAGAAAGCCGAGAAAACAAATAGGAAGAGCACTAACTAATTAAGTTAAGTAAATATATAAAAGCTATCACCACCTCGAGCAGTAAAACAAAGTCGTTATGGCTATGTTACTAACATAGACAACTATGAATGGTATTCATTGACAGGAGTGACCGCTTTCTAGTCGTAGTTGGTACCGCCCCTGTTCACTTCAGCATGCAAGGAAGACCTTCGGGAAGAATCAAAGGTTTTCTCCTCTGCAAAGCTATCAATGCTTTAGTCAAGATCTTTAGCAGTCGATCGTTCATTTTCTCTCGGGAGACATGGCTTCAATTCAATCATTCTCTCCGGCTTTTGAGATAGTCCTTTGATAGAGTAGCCTGGTTGGAAAGGATCTTGTACCTGCCATGTCAAGGTAAGGGCATCTCGCATATCAAGTTACTCTATCGATTATCGATAGCGTAATATAGCCCAACACAGAGAAGGAACAGGGTCGGTAGGTAATTCATCTTCGTTTGGATAGCAGTACGGTACACGCACCAAGATATGATCTTTGCTTTTCCACTCGAACCATAACCGGAACTGGAACCTCCATCTAGACCTAAACCTGACACCCGCATACCGCATATGCCATTGGTTTGTCGGTCGTTGTGTAGAAGTTCATTCGTGGTAAGCCACGTAAGGAAGGGCTCGCCGGTACCTTACAATTATTTGAAAGATATTCACGTCGCCAGGGAGTACGTGTCACGAACGATTCGTTGGTCGGGTATAGGCGAAGACGGCTTGATAACGTCACTTCTCGGCGGAAATAGCAAGGGAGTAAGGATAGCGGATCACTTTCTGTTTCAGAAAACCGTTTTCGGGGACAGTCCATCCATAACTCAGAAAGACATTTTTCAAATTGAATAATTCGGAAGAGAGGAAAGCAAAAGGCCAGGCATTGGACTAGTGGAATGAAACCTTATCCCATTATGGAGTGAGAACCTGATATTCTTTTATCAAAAGACATGGCCTCCCCTAATGGACTTTGGAACAGATACACGAGCCACTATCTTAGAGACCATCTTTCTTGATCGAAGCCCCATCCATAGGTATACGCTTTAAAAGAAACATACACCAATCATGTGCGGGACGAAGCAAAGCATTCGGGATAGTGAAAAACTCGCAACTTCCCCGATCTTTCCTTAAACCAACCCCAATGGGAAATTGACTCAATAGGCTGCTCTCTCTGAGTGACTAAGGAAGTCGGAATGATCCCAAAAAAAAGTAGCTATAAACTTCTTTTCTTTCTTTCTAGTTGAGGACTGACAACGACTTGATTCTCTACTCCACTTGGTTACTCCCGAAGACCCTATTGGTTTGTAATCGATTCTTTATCAATGGGCCACCCTTTCTTTGAACCTTGTCAATGATCGAACTTAAAGATATGAACTGAGTGCCATTTGATGAGTAACTGAGAACAAAGGAGAGGGATATAGAAAGGATGAAGTAATGAAAGAGGAAGTCATTGCTAGTAGTAACGACTTGTTACGATCCATTGGTTCATATAGAATCCATGTCCTAGGTGTATCAAAAAACATTCTTTTCGCTAAGCGTATATAATAAAATAGAGTGAAAGGGTCCACCCCGAAACCAAGGGGGTACTAACTAACAGCTGAGTCCTCTCCGAACCGCAGGAGATAGTTGCCCATCATACGGCTCACCAACTTCACTTGCCTCTATGGGAGGCTCGCTCCGGGCAGGTTCGGATCACTTACAATACACAGCTCTACGAAGGAAGGGGTTGGGTTAGGAACGTTTTCAATATGATTCTTTTTCCATATTTGTTCGATCTCTTCCATCTCTGCCCCGCGTTGTCACCTATGTTGAAGAAAGGTTTGGAACCCTGTAGAGAATGAAGAGGAGCCAAGGATCTTCCTCTCAACAGTGCTTCTCGAGGCTCCACTCTCCCCCCTGAATAAGTAAGGCCCCGTTAGCCTGGGCGAAGATGGGGATAAGGAATAAGGATTGAAGCCCCCTTAGCTCTGCCAGGCACTGGACAGGGGTTAGCTCGGTCAATGTGTAGAGCCAAGTGTAGTGTGGTGTAGTAGTAGGCACTTCTAGGCCCCTTCCCGGCTACTGGATCACTCCAGCGCTTTGGGTACTACGGACCCTCTGCCATCCATTGCAGCAGAGTCGTTTCATGAGCGGGGGGGCTAAGCGCAGTTCTTTGAATCAAACGTTGAATGAAATCGATTCTTTTTTAGATATCAAAATCGAAATCGGATAGGATAGATGGATGGATCTATCTTTCTATTTATATAGTTAAGTAGCGTAGCAAAAAGCCCCAAATCCTTGATTTGGCCAGGAAAGACTGCACTGCTTTGGGCCCAGGAAGCGAAGGGAATGAGCTCGGCTGCTTCTCCTCCACACTTATTTTTCTCCGTGCCCGCTCCGCATGCGCTTCGCGCGCCATTGGCGCTTTGCTCTCCTCTTATTCTTCATTGGACGATTCGGATGGACTTCGCCGTTCTTTCCCAACAAAAATAGAAAAGGCTGTATCACATCGAGATGTCGATTCGTTTTCCGCCCCCAATGAGATGGGGAATTTTGAACCCCCTATTTATACTTTTAGGCCCTTCATCTTTCTGAATCGAGGCCCGGCCCGGCTCGCGTCGTTCCAACAACCGGCGGGGAGCACCTCAGTATACGATCGCGCGCAGTAACTGGGAGTCCTATTACACCTAAGGCCAACTTCAATTCACCAAACCAAGGTTCATCTCGTGTAGTGATTGTGGACTCATACAAGGATATTGAGTAGACGGTTGATGTATCAGACTCGACCCTATCTTTCGTAGCATGCATTCCCATCTGTGTCGCAACTGATTCGGTAAGCTACGTGTCCGGTGCACGGAGAACGGCCTTCGGCCCCCCAAACTGACTTACTCGTGGCAACCTTCCGGCCGCCCAACAACCTATAACGCTAGTCACTACTCCCACTGGGGCTAGGAAGTAAGCCCCACAACCCAAAGCGGCGAAGAACAAATAGAATTTGCTACAAAAGCCGGCTAACGGGGGTATTCCTGCGTATGAGAACATAGTAATGGAGAAGGTAATAGCCGAAATAGGATTCGTTTTGGCTAGAGCGCCCAAATCCGCTATATATTTGACACGGGTTTGCCGTAATGCTGAAACTATGGCGAATGCATCTATCGTCATTAATGCATAAATAAAGATACCAATTAGTAGTGATTGAATTCCTTCTATGGTTCCACATGAGAAACCAGTACGAATATAACCTACATGTCCAATTGAACTATGAGCTAGAGGTCTTTTTACTTTCGTTTGGGCCATGGCGGCCAGTGCTCCTAAGATCATAGAAGCAATGCTGCAAAAAAAGAAGATTTGTTGCAATGTAGCTCCATAGGAACCATAAATAGAAACACGTGAAATATTAGCAGAAATAGAAATTTTAGGCGCAATAGAAAGGAATGCTGTAACCGGGGTGGGTGAACCCTCATAGATATCAGGTGCCCACATATATAGAGTCAAAAGAGATATGGAGTCCGAAGGGGAGGGGGTTTTTCTTCGGGGCTCGAGAGATGGAATAGATAGGGCCCCCCAAGTTTTTAATTCACCGTTGGGGAATTCACACGAAAGGGAACGAGGAATTCTCAACGAAAAAAGTGCTCTCTGAACCGAACGTGAAAGTTGTTTTCCATCAGACGGCTGTTCCCGTAACTCCACTTTCGACTTGGATTATATATCCAAAAAGGTCCGCTCTTGGCCATTCCACACGCTGCCTAGCAGAGGCATGGTTATCTGAAGTGGATTCTCTCTTTTCTAGTAGATGCCGAACCTGCTGCCCCATTGATTAAGAAGAGGGGCGGGCGCAGCAGTTACATGGACCCCTTCCTTTCTGTTGTTGCCAGCGCTTTCCCGGGCCGAGCCGGAATTTTTTATTATAAAGGGGCCCGAAGGCTGCTATCCCAATAGGCCAGCGGGCGGAACGAGGAGAGGCCCCGGCAATCATACCACCGCGGTCGAAAAAGCGTGTTCCCTTCAGATAACACGCACCGTAGGCCATCCTCGGCCTTCTTCGTTTTTGATGAAAAACAAATCAAATCTCTCGATCTCCGAAAGCGTTTTCCTCCCCCCGCCGCATCCCCCTCCCTTCGTCGAGCCTTTCCTTTAATGGTTGGGGGAAGCATTCCCTTATCTGAACTTGGCGGGCATTCTTTCCAGCCTTATTCAAATAGGGGGATGGGTTTGGTTTGAACTTTGAACATAGGCTCAAACATGATTTGAAGGTCCTAGCTACGCCATGCGTTCAATACAAAGGAAAGCTGCAGAGATGACAAAAAGAGGGCGCTTTCCTATGTTGCACTGAAAAAATAAGGACAACGGATAAGAACGTCTTCTCTTAGGTTTCTTCCTCCCGCGCCCGCCGCCGCCCGGCCCGCGTTAGAGGGGAAGATTAGCAAAGCGAGAAAAGACAGAGGGAAGGAGAGCAGCATTTTATTCTCTTTGCGAGAACTTCCGGATCGGAGAAGCATTCGGAACGGGCTCCGCGTTCATTTCGTTGGCGGAAACGATCCAATCCATTCGGGGCTTCGGGGAACCCAAAAACGAAGTCTTTCGACTTGATTCATAGATAGAATCAATGATAAATAGACAAAAGATAGATGAACGAGATATCTTTTTTTCTCTAAAAAAAATGGAGAGAGAAAGAGCAGATGCTCAATAGCACCTATATCGAACACTAATTCCTATCTATTGATAGGAAGATCTTCGTCAAATACCGGACTTTGCCTTTTTTTTAGGAATTCCTCATATCCAAGGCAGCTTACCACAAGCCCCACCCCATACGACTAGTCGGGGGGGGCTGTTCGCCTTTTGAATCAAACAAAGTAAGTAGTAGGGGCTTCATAGCTACTTTCATTCTAAAGGAAACCGAAAAACCAACCTTTAGTCAATAGGAGCCCTACTTCCCTCTTTGCGACCTCATCA